GGACACTTCAGAATATTTGATTACTTGACCTTTTCAATCCCACGATCTAGTCATCAATTCTCCGTTCAGTCTGTCCTACATTTTGTATATTTTTAGCTTTGAGAATTTGGTATTTAATCAAATAATACCACCTGATTTACATTTTCTTCATCCTCATCACACTTCTACTTGATATCATATTTTTGTGACGATGGAAAATCCTTTTTCGTCATTCCAGGTAGCGTAAGGGGTGACAGCATTGCGGTAAAAGGGTCAAAACTGATGTACTACATCTCTCAAATACTCTGCCGCCAGGAGTTTGTTTATCCGCTCTCTGTAATTCACATGTCCATGAATCCAAATTCTAAGATTTGCTGTTACTTTCGTAAAAAATATTCGGCTATTTGGCTGGTTTGCTAAAGAAAATTATCTGAGAATCAGCCTTAATTTCCGTTCGATCGATCTTCAAAGTTAACCGCTTGTAGTAAAAAACTGAAAGCGTCGAACGCCAGCCATTTATCAGATGATTTTGTGTCCATAAATATAAACTCAAAAAACGAAAATAAACTACTTTCTCGATGATTTTTCCAAATGTCTTAAAGCTCTGTTATCGCACTTTTTTCATATCATCTTGTTTTGAATAACTTAAAACAATGAAAACTCATTAATTCAATAAACTTTGTCGCTTTCCAAAGTGCTTTTTTATCTTCTTCATTTTCCTATCTTTGCATCGTCACGAAAGCGTGGAAACATCGCTTAAAAAACTCCTGTGTCAAACGGGAAACATCTTAGTCATAACAACATCAATTTTTATCTTTTACCGACAAGTTTTGAACAAAGTTAAGATTCTACAGCAGCGTGCCGTACTACTCATGGTTTTCTCATTTTGAGAGCCCTGAAAGTGCCGCGGAAAGCTGATTGCCCTACAAAATGTTTACATAAGTAGTTATTTACGCTTCAGTCAAGATCGTTAGACTCAACGAAGAACATCAGTCAATATAAAAAGTTGCCGACCACGAACGTAGACTGTTTACACGAACCCCCGACTTGTGGAGCAAAATAAACATGTCTGTTGTGATTGGAGTTTAGCACTTCATTTTAAGATTGTCACAGAGATGATTTCCTTGAATAACAAATTCGCGAGCTTAGCGCTCATTCATATCCCTGATCGCAATTAAGGTGGACACGAGATCAAGGGAAGGTAATGTACACTTTCAGAAGAATTTTGATGCTTGTGACATTTAAAAAAAGCGCTCTTACCTCAATGAAAGGACGGAACATGCCGCATTTATCCTCCACCTTGTGAGGCAAAGAGTTTTCTTCAGCTGCACACGTACCGTTATGCAGCACATCGCGGAGATGAGAGATGTAATCGATCGCCAATAACAGGATATTGAGCCTCGGTAACTTAGTATCAGGTGGAACTTGAGGCAGCGTTTTCTGCAGTTTTAAGTACGCCCTCTTCATATTCTGCGCTCGGACCCTCTCGCGAAGTGCATTAGCTGACGGCGTGTCCGAACTTCCCTTCCGACGCCTTGCTGGTAGTTGTTTATCTGTCGTGGGCGCAATTGTGGAGGAAAACTTTCCCATGGTTTACCACAAGCTTGTACTACCAATAGCTTTGTATCCTCGATCCCCGTTAATAGCTGCGGTAGTGACTATGTAATTCGTCTTCCGTCTGGTTAGTGCATCCTGTGCGCGCTGTGGAACACAATCCCTAAATACCTCCCAGTTCGAGTAAAACGCACTGAGAGTTACAATATTCATACGTGTGCAAAGACTTGATAACGTGGTTAATTAAATCTAGATAGCGACAGCCGCCTGAGGATCAGATGTTATCCTGACTGTGATGAGATGCCTGGTGCATTCGTGATTTGGCTTTCAGTCTCACTGTAACGAATGGCCTAAATTATTTATAAGTGATGGTTAATTACCTTTGCGTGAAGTTTAGTTAACGCTGCAGTTTGCTGATGAGGTTTTTATTGTAGCGCAATAAATTTGCAATATTCTTGTCGAAATTGAGAGATCTGCTTGCGAGAAAAACACGAATGTTCCATAGGCATCAACAACGATGAGGAAAAGCGATCGATTTATCATTAAATGCTCTCAACAGCTGGTCACATCCAACTTTCTGCGGAACTGTATTCAATGACCCTGAACGCGAGGTACGTTTTTAGAACGCGATTAGGTAAGTTTCAGGAATGGATTCTACGGCTGGATAATTTTCGTTATTCAAAAAAAGGGACAACGGAAGGGTAACACAAATTGCCCAGTCGTAAATTTGTTGAAAAACAAAAGTGGATAATTTTAAAAGGATAATCTTATCGGAATAAGCCGCTACCGAACAAATTACTAATGACCGCAAAGACGGCAATTACTGGAAGCATCTGAACCACATGTGAAATTTACATTGTTCGTTGTCATACTACCTTATTTTTCATCTGTTTTTCTCTACTTTTGAAGGATGTTTCTAGAAGGGAATTCAACTGAATTCAAATGCGTTTTATATCTCTAATTAATGATTTTGAGCGCAGCCCATCACTTGACGCAAAGGTGCAAAGCCTTCTGTTTTACTTCACATCAAGATTGGATCTTTTGTTACTTTAAATACCAGAAATTGATCCTCTCAGTCGTTCAACATAACGTGCAATATCAACCAGAGATCTGCGCAAGGAGCTTTTACGGTACAAACCAAGAATTCGCAGCTGAGTCTTGAGAAATGGAGGGTAGAACTTTGGATGACGGAACACTTCATCCCATCACCCTCATTCCACGTTACTTTTTCTTTTCGTGGCTTAGCATTGATCAGAACTGACCTTCCATGCTGTTCAGGTTATCCTTGAATGAGCATTTTTTCGAAAAAATTTCCCAATTTTTTAAGGAGTCTACTGATCTGGTCGGACAGTCAGCTACTGGACTCTTTTTGAAAATAGAGCGGCCATATCGGCCAGTTCTGACCAATAGTAAGCGCCCTTAGAATTAAGCTTTAATGATTAGCCAGTTTATCAAATGAACAGTTGTAATGGAGAAACCTAATTTTAAGTCTGACTATATGAATAAGGAGAACCTGCTAACAAAACGAATCAAAGTCTGGAAAAAATATTTCCTAGTATTACACGATCAATACCGCACGTACATGCAAGCATTTCGACTTTCTCTATTCTGTGACTTAATGATCTCAGGCTCTAATCACCCTGCCTCCCGAGCATATGTGAAATCAATTAATGCTTTTGCGTTGACAGGTCGGCTCCCGAGACATCATCCATCATACGCGCAAATTTGCGACAAATGTTTGACCTTATTGAGGAAGATTGAATTCACGCCAACATCACCACTTAGAAAGCAAAAAAAGATATGTTTCGAATATAATTTCGACATCCTTTAAATAAATCTATTAATGACGATATAGCTATGGAACTGCTAGAAAATTCTTCCGATTTTCATTGGAGAAGGACCCTGGTTAAAAGTTTCATTGTTCTATGTTCGTGGCATGTGGACGAGCAAAGATGTTTGCATTCTTAAATATTTTTTTATTTGACCCGTGACACTGCTGATGGTCTGACGATTCAATTAAGCCATCATTATTCTGACAGACAGGAAGTGATGAGCATTACTGAGGCGAAGTTTCTTTTCTGGTACTTCTTGCAGCGCGAAGTGGGTGGTTTCTGAAAAGTCCAGCTTACACAACATAACAGAACGAAGGATAGAATGGTTATATAATGTAGAAACATGGCAATACTTAAGCGAAAGGTCGTTCAATGGATAGACAAGATACCACAGAAAGATCAAGTTGGTTTCACAAGAGTATCAGCTAAATTTTCTTCAAAAAGGAAAAGTCTCGAAAAAGTAATGAATTGAGTTTAAGAAGCGTTAATTCTGTTTGTTCAATTCGGAAAACATTTCTCAAGGCTCCTCTTTCTAAGAGTATAGTTTGGTGTCATTGGTATGACACCAAATTCTCAGCTAACAAAGCGGCGTGGACATGAATGTTCAAAAGCTAGCCTAGCTCCTGAGGAGGCAAAGCCCTTAGAGCTTTGGAATGTGTGGTTTGAAAAATACCTAGTCAGCAAAAAACAAGTATATTGCAGTTCAACAGTAAGGCGAAACAGTTCTCAGGTTCTTCCTTCTTAAATTTCACTTTAGTTTTACTTTATTACAATACGCTCAGATACAATAACTTTCTCTTCTGCAGGGTCAATTTAACCTGTTTAAGGCTTTCTAGAGACGAGCCAATAGTGGTATGAGCAAAATAAAAACCAGAGGGTTGGGGAACTAAAAACGCCATCGACTATCTTTCGCCTGCACTTTCGATCTTCACACCAACCGATAGTCTCATATACACTAAGTTAATTTAATGCTCTCTGCTACATGTACATACCCACTCAGTCAGGTTCGGTTCTGCCGTTTTCTCGAGTCCAGTCCACGATCTACCCGAAAAAGAATCATTCACTGAACAACGGCTCCCATTCGCAAACATTCTGTTTCATTGATCATCAAACATTTTTCCTTGCGAGCAACAAATTTGGAGAACGTATGGGTCAAAAGTGTCTTAAATTTCTCTCCAACCGATGTTACAGATGAAAGCTCAAAAACTTGACTCTTCTCGGCTGAGCAAAACTGAACCTATTTTAGCCTTAGTTTAGTTTAAAAAGGATCTTGGTTTATCATGCTTTAGAAATGTCGTGTTTCAGTTCTTACTATCATTAAAAGAACATTTCATTGTTTTTCTAACGCATATTATCTTACATAAAGTTAAACTGAGCTCCACACAAATCAACATAAACGATTTCCTTTCGGTCAGTAAAAAACTAAACGACTTTGAACTGGAAGCAGCTGTTGTGCTCAGCAACACGCTACAGCAAGTCAGTGAGTCAAGAAAGTCTGGTAAACATAAAAATGCCAAGAAAATGAAGGTTGTACGTGGTTGAAAGCGTCGATGTGTTACTGTATGATCCACACTTATGAAAGGTTCTTCATATTTCTATTTTAAACCTGCTGTTTTTTTTACATAAATGCCAGACAGTATTACAATGAGCGTGGATGTCTGTTAATTTAAAACGTGATAAAATTCTTTCGTCCTATCAATGCTCTCGCCTCCAAGAATAAGTTGTCCTCACTGTCTAATGTACAGTTAGTGTAATTTTGGCTCTGAGAATTCGCTTGCTGTTAGAAATTCTTGGTCTCCGTTTCAGCTGTTGTCTTTTTATCAACGGCAAAATGCGAAAAAGCGAATAATTGCGGAATAGTATATATATATAGAACTGTCCAAATGAAGCATCTGCTGGAAAGAACCACAATTGAAAGGAATCCAACAAAGAGAGAATCAAAGTTATAGTTGTACTCTGAAAACGTTTCAACCATCAGAAACTAGACACGCTTAGTTAGTGGCAGGATTTCGGTCTCTTCTGCACCAAATCAACATTAAATTTGTGTGTACTGTTGAGAAATATTGAGCTCTCAATTTGAAATCTAATTTTATTGCATGACTTCTTCAACGGTTCTTGCATGTGTGGCCTAGAAGACTTGGCGTAGCTTGGTTGATGTCCCGAATTCCGTCTGTCGATAAAGAGACTTGAGTAAGAACTTAAATAAAAGACCATAGTTCTTGATAACTGCCATGATAGTCATACGATAGGCCTATTCAGTTTCATTTCATAACTACACTGATCTAATCTTAAATCCAATATGTAATATTGTATTTGCATTCAAGTGTTATATTGATATCTCCTCTTGAAATTCTCAAGTACACTTTGAAAGTGCTTTTCTCGTGTGCAAACCGAAAATTATTCACCAGCTTTAAAAGGAGCAAGAACGCTAAAATCAAAAAATAAACGCTACGTTTTCCCTTTATTCAACCCAACCACCTCAGATATAACGCGTCACATAATCACAGAGCTATCCATCTGTTCTGAAGTTATTCCCACGAATCGAACATTCCAAACCAAAGAAGATAACGCTGATTATGTAGATGACTCTGGGAACGTAGCCTTTATCATCGAGAAGAGCTGCGCAAAATTGTATCGGAAAAAAAAGCAATAAAATGAAGCGATAACAATTTAGATAAGTTGTTCCCTTTTCTACATCACTCACCGTCAGCTTATAATTACATTGCCTTAGCAAACGACTTATTTCCGGCCGAAAAGAGCAATGATAAGGAAAAAAGGATTCCACTAGAGCTAATTCCTTAAGAATAAAATTACGCGTTAAATAGCTTGAGGAGGGTAGCGTTAACTCCAATGAACCTTACTTTGCGTCCTCTTAGACGAAATCCGATTAAAACCAAGCTTATCTCCTTTATTTCAACACATAGTCTACGGTTCACAGGACATGCGAGAGACTTGTTGACTGTTGTTGGCGTCAGTTACAATCTTAGGTCTATCTTTGAAATCTGTTTTAGGGACAGCTGAGGTTTTCGATAAAATGCTTGACTAACGCTCATAGAAGAGGCCTTTGTTTGATACAATTCCCTGATATACTCTTTAAAGACGTGCTGAAGGCCAAGGTTCAGCAGAAGGAGTGCGTATCTGACAAAGTTCCTTTGAATTGGTAGATTGTCCGTGGATTGTGAAAAGGAAGCTCTGACAGCAGTGAAGTGTATCAAAAAAGAGTAGTCTTCTGATCAGTCTCATAACCTACCACCACTTTTACCATTCTTTACGCGTGAAACTGAATAACTCGTGTTGAAAACATTCTAATAGAACCAATTAAGAGATTAATTCTAATATAACTGTCGATGCCAAGTAATTATTGCGCTGCTGGGCAACTTTTATCATCCGAATTGGAAGGATTATGTATTCATAAACCGGCAGTAACGAACTAGTACACAGCTACGAAGGTGCCACAAAACCTTTTCCTTTACCGCTTCTTCCCATTCACTGACAGTAACAACTGATCAAAGAGCTGCTTCTCATCAACAGCGCAGTTTTTAAATTAAATTCATACAAGATTGCCTTGGTTTAGCCTTCCTCGCGCCGTGTTTGGCCTAGAAAACTCGCAACATCCGCTCAACCAATCAGATGCTAAACTGGAAGAAACCACGGATTGGTCACGTGCGCTTTCCCGCGCTTTAAGCAGTTTGCCCATTTTACCTAAGTTCCTATTCGTTGTATGTCTATGTGATACGTTCCTTTGGTGGGATTGGTTATCATGATTACTTTTCTTTTGCCTTGGCTTGAGTGGCACAATTGATGTGTGTCAAAGAGTCTAGCGGAATAAAGAATTTAAATAACGCCATATCTCAGCACAGACCATTCATATATCGTCGCCGATATAGTGAGATCATTCTAAAGCAATTTAAAGACAAATTATAATTACCTTGACGTATAGTAAAAAGCGTATTCTAGAAAATAAGGTAAACAAATACTAGTAGACTCCAACTGAGTCTTAAAAAATAATAAATAAGACGAGACTGATTACTGACCACGAATACAGCAAAAGGAATTTCAATGAAGTTTTTGATATTAGTTGTTGTGTACACCTCAATAAGTCTTAAGGAGGAACTTCACAATCTTGATATCTTGATTCATAAACCATTTAAATAAAAGCCCACAGGAAAAAACTTCTTTCCCTGGACTCAATTTGATTATTAACTAATAACAGGTTTTTCGACGTTATCCGACATTTCACCATGTGAAAATAAATTTATAATGAGGGCGACAAAATAAAACAGTAGTAAATTTACATTTTCTTTCCTATGCCGACCCTTAAAAACAAGAATACACCTGGATTCAGTAAAGGATATCGCTGCTAACTCATCGATAAATAACTTCTGGCAAGATGCAGATTTTTTTGGAAGGATGAAAAATAAATAAAATTTCGAACTGAAGCTCTGGCAAAGCCCTGGTCAAAACATCGGTAAAAGCCCAGCTTGCAGTCCAGCTTGCAGTATATTGACAGAGTAATTTGAATGCACCGATAAAGAGAATGATTTAATTTAATCTCTCACGCATTTCGTTTCACGGCAAAACATGGCCAACATTTTAAAGCGGCGGCAGATCAATTATATTTTTCATCCGTTTTCAATCTGCTGAACCAGCTGAAAACACGACAACTGAGACGTACACTTACAACAAATTCTTGATCGACAGAATACGCGCGTTTTTCGCCGCCTAACGATGGTTTTTCGATTGACTGAAATTAGCGGGGTAGATTTACTGCCTCGAAAAAGAAAACTGCAATGCAGGAATGGTCATTTCCTGGAGGTACGACCTGATGGTACAGTAAGAGGAACGAAAAACAACGACAGCATCTATAGTAAGTACCAAAATTACTGTCGTACCATTACATGGAACCAACAAAAACAGTGAATAAGGAATTCCACCTTTTTCGAAGGTTATAAATTTTTAATCAACGCAATGAAATGAGATTTTAGGAAATAACTGCTGCGGGGAAAAAGAGTATGCTTCTTTAGATACGACAACAACGTTGAAAGGTTTCATTACACAACCTTTTTGCTGGCGACAGTTATCAGTATGGACTGCTCCCTTTTCATTGAAGGTTTTCCAAGAAAAAAAAATAAAGAAGTAATAGATCTGAGAAACACTTTACACTTTCTCTTGATAGGAGATTTAGATTGTGTGTAAGTTTACAGGGATTTCAAGTCCTTAACAACATAACATTCTTGTACAATAACAATGTTTTGGCAATTATTTACCATGAGGAAATTTGTTAATATGGCTCGCTAACGTGGGGAAATGAAAAAATTCAAAGTCGCCTCCTTGGATTCAAACCACAGACCTTCCGATTTTACGGGGGCTGTATGCTCTAACAATTGAGCTGCAGCCGTGAAAATTAGATTGGTAGCGAGACCATGTATTAACCCTTCAATTTCCATGAGTGATCAAGACAGAATTTCTCCTTACTATATCAATACAATATCACGCAGACATGTGACGAGAATAAATAAAATTATCAACTAAAGGATTATTAGTTAAACCAATGCCAAATTCTCTAAACTAACATCAAAAGAATTGTACGGCACACAGTTAGGAGAATTACTGATGAGATCACAGGAATGGAAAGATTAACCCCGTTTCACTCTCACAAGTGACCAAGACAGAATTTCTCCTTACAATATCAATACAATATCAAGCAGATAGGTGATAAGAATAAAGAAAAATATTAATTATGGGATTATTTGTTGATCCAATACCAAATTCTCCGAACTAACACTATAAGAATTGTATGGCAGATAGTAAGAAGAGTTACCAATGAGATCTTGGGAGTGAAAGGGTTAATCAGGTTAATATTTGAGCATCCTGCATTTGTCAGGGAGAAAGTACAAAAATGTTCAATTGATGGCCTGGAGATCTCGGGTTCAAACCGTTGTACGAAATGCTATGATTTTGACTGAAAAGGAATACGTTCTAAAGGAAACTAGCTGAAAGATTTGGGGGCGAATTGATAAAGGTGGTTGCGAATTTGCTTTACTTCAATGGGCGAACTCGCAAAGGTGACAGGAAGCGAACTCCCAATGGTGCGAAATCTCCAAATAACGCTTTGATCGCTGATTATTTCCTATTTCACTGAGCAAACGCAGAGGCCCAGTGTTTGGGGACGCACGAGACTGCGGGTCGATAGGTTCAGGATTGTTTCCTTCCCCAGGTCATTGTATCATGTTCTTAGGGTAAAAACTTCACTCTGATGATGCTTATCCCAATTCACGAGCTGAGGAAGGAGGGTTACCTCCAAGAAATTAGCATCTCATTCAGAGTAGACATATTTCTAGTCACTGTGCCACTGAGACTAGGGATAAGCACTGCTAATTGTGAGCCACTTGGCTGTAAGACAACACCTTATGCTCCTCTCCTCAGCTGTGTTTCATCTCAACTCTGTGGGACCGAACATAGTTACTTTGTGGGCTGCAGAAGCTCGGCTTTACGTCGGCATTGACGACCGTGGGAACATAGTTACTTCGGTAAGTGCCGATGAGTATAAAACTAACATTGAAGAACCTTTTAACTTTTGGTACTGTTGTTCTGAATAGCAGACCGGAAACATCGATTGGCGACAATTCTGGTTTAGGTTAAGTTTTAATCTTGGACGTAAGATTCTTAGTGAAGACATTTTTTCAATTATTGTGTGAACATGAAATAATAGCGATTGGAGACTCTGTTTCTTTTAATTGTGTGCGTCAATCAACTGGTTACAAATATTATGCGTACCCAGGCAAATTTCATAAACCAGATAACTATCCGTGTGTTTTATGTTGCTTGCTTGCCGTTTTTAAATTTTTCTTTCCCGTCAGGGATTTAAGTTTCAAAGCAAGTACGTTTGGTATTCTTTAGATCATATCTAAAAGTCATTTCTCGTCGCTTTTCAGGCTTCAAAGATCCCGTCCTGTGAGCTCCGAGAGAAGCTGGACACAGAATTTTTCACCAGCCTTAGCAAGGAATTTTCTCCTCGCCGGCTACACTGCCTGGCGATCTCAGTGCAGGGGAAAGTTCGATCATCAATACTGACTTCTTCACAAAATGTGCAGTTCATCACCAAACGACTGCATTGATAACGTTACCAGTGGCAGCTCCATAACGAAAGGCGATCAGTCACATTTAACCATCTAGTCGAGTAGCCTTATTTACGGAGAAGGGGGGGTGGAAAGAGGGCACTTAGAATGGGGGAAGGTGAAGGGGTACTGACAAACCCCGACCTTGGTTTGAGAAAAAAAAAAAAAGCGTCCATTTTGCTACCCTGTTTCAGAAACAAATTGTATAAATTGTATAAATGCGATATATTGACTTTAGAGAGCTCTCTTTACCATATACTGAGACAAAAAAAAGGTAATTCCTAATGCAAAATCGTGCACCGATAAGTTCACACACCAGTCGAGAATTCTGGTCCAGAATGACGCCCTCTTTAAGGGACTTCGGATAAAAATTTTGTACCTGTCTTAGAATAAACACTTTGAAAATCGTACCCTATTTAGCGCCAACTATCCATTGAGGCTTTAAAAATAACGGAGAGACGTCATTCCCCCCACTCCCCATCTCGCGCAAAGTTGGAAAATTTATCCAAGAAAGTTAAAACTACTTCAGGGTTTCTGTGTTTTTGTTTTCATTGACTACCGTAAAAGTCAAAACGAAGATGAATGGCACAAATATAAGAAATGAGAACCTTAAAGCAGAAGCGCGTTACTGATCCCACAAGTAAGTGTCCTCTCCTATACAGAGAAGCAAAACTACTGGAATATCATATTACTTTGGAAACTAGATTAAAAATTTCCTCGACCAGTGTTTGGACTGACGTGAGCGAATTACAAAGCAAAAGAAAATCCAAGGAAAATCCAGCTATACAGTTAGTCACTCTAACGATACAGAGTAGGCGCATAACTTAGAAGTATATACAACATAACTTACAATTTTAACTCGTTACTTCAATCTCCGTTCGGAAATTCTAATCTACACGTATGGCTATGTATAACAATAAACATAATAGTCCAAAAATATGACAGTTATAACGAAAGTTATAAAATATATAATGATGACAATTATAACTATAATAATTTCAATGATATGGAATGTTTGCCTTTTTTTTTAAAAAATTGAAGTAAAATGCTCCCCCGTTAAGGTTATTTAATATCTTTTTAAAACTTCTACTTCTTGGAAAATTTCATGAGCTTGGCGAGCACAATGCGCAAAACAGCGAGAAGTAACGGTCGCCACTTCTACACTGAAACTAGCTTTCGAACGTGTAACCCTAACAATATTCTAAATTTTTGTTCTCTCCAACTCGTACGCAGTTTTCTTTAAAATTGTACTCTTCACTTGCCAAACCACACGGTAGGCAAAGATTTTTATCATTAAATAGAATAATTTGGCTAAGTTCATGTGCCTGAAAAAAGGATTACAGTCTTTAGATTCTTTCACAGAAAGAGAATCTATCGCCAAATAAATATTTACATGAAGATTAATAAACCAGTAAAGCGAAGTAAAAAAGTCTACTCTGTATATCAACTCTGTAAGCTTTAAACATTGTCACTAACATTTATTTGCCAAGCGAAAACTCGTAGACGCCATTTTTTTGGCCAGCGGATCTTCTGAGCCTAAAGAAACGAGCATTTAAAATGTCGTAAATCGCAGATGAGTATAAGGCCATATCTTGATTGTGTTCTGAGGCCGGAGCGCGAATGATAAGCCTCTATCCTGTTCGTAGGAAAACTAAGTTTTCAGTTTTCCTGAGCATCATATCTTCCAGTAAGAAAGTATAGCGCAGGTTCATCCGGGCTATTCGCCGTCTGAAATTCGTCCCTTAACCGGAAGCGCCAATGATCCTCCAAGTCTAATCGTGCCACTTCCTGTCTGAGCGTGTTTCGGTCTTGGCACACCAGGCAAAGGCGAGAGCCTGGGGCGAACTTGAATTGCGACAGGAAGGCCGCTGAAACTGAACGGCTACAGAAATATAGCAACAGTCCTCCATACCTGGAAAATAATCATAGGAAATTGAACTAATAGCAGAAGCTTGAGTTAACTAGAGAGACACGTATACATTTGAGGTGAAGGGAAAAAAAAATCTTTGCACTAGATTTCACCGCAGCGAAAAGTATGAGTTACTGTTCCGCATTCCATTTTGTCAATTACAATTTTGTCGTGGGGCAAGATTTCTAGTAACACTCAAAGTGACGAATGGCTCCTTCAAGGAATGCAACAAACAGTCAAACCTGATGCCTTCGTTATCCTTCTTCTTGCTTTTGTCCCAGCCATGTGAACTGACAAACTCTAAACAAACCCTTGGACCAAGATTAACGTAACAGTCCACCACCAGAACTGGATGCTCTGGTTTATCCACAGCCTCGGGAAAGAGTCGCACTGAACCCATTAGCTCAAGGTAGCGCTCTAGGAGGTAGTAGGCAGGTACAGAGAGATAGGGTGTATCCTCGCGGTCAGGGGCAGTCACTAATAAATCGCCGGGATGCGTCTCTCTGTTAGGACTGCCTTTGTCAGCACTTTGGGCTGGCTCCTCATTGAAGGCGACGGCACCCCCTGTCTGGATGCGTTTCTTAGCAACGACCAAGTGGTTGAAGCGGCAGGTAGGTATTCCGCTGGCCAACACGTGAAGACTCAGGTCGAGGTCTTCCCACCAGTATCGATTCGGGTTGTACTTGATTCCCTGCAGCTTGCTCAGGTTTAACATGACCGTGGTATGCAAGGGACAATGTGAGAAGGAGCCTTGTGAAACAGGTATCGAGGCGTCGGCACTATACTGCTGCAGGCCTAACATGCCGTAGTTTAGGAGGTCTGGCGTGTTTTCCAAATGTTGAAGGACCCTCCAGAGGGACGTCATCACAAATGAAGGACCTTCAACCTCTTTGACGGAGGGCTCCTCTCTAAAGCCAAACAAATGGAGAAATCTAATTAGGACTATGACGTAACAAATTTTTTGTGTAGAAAATTGCTGTCATTTTAAAGAAAATCTTACTTCGCTCTGTGATAGTCTGGAAACTAGTGGCACTCTCACAACAAATCAGATGGCAAAGCAAAACCCAACGTAACTTGGTCACTACCGTTACTACACGCTTCAAACAGTTCGTTAGTTTATTTTATTTATACTTTGAGCTCTCAGTAGACTCTTGAGACATTTTCCTTTGTTCGGAGTGGACGTTTACCGTATTATTCAGTTGTGATGTCTTCGACTATGTTTTTGCAGTTCGCAAAACCCTATCTATCGCAAAACCCAGAGATTACATTCAATAAAACAACCAAATAACCTACAACGCATACGGTTTTTCAGACGTTAGCCTTTATTTCTTTAAGTCACCGCTTCTCTCTCGTCCACGCAATTATGCGGTTTTCGGTTGTTCTTCCTCCACAATTGTCAAGGCATATATTTTAATAAAGTGAAATGACATCAAGCAAGAATGGAAGAGAAATGAAAAATCTCGTTCTCGTCGTCACGAACTACCATGACGCTGTCTTCAAACACGCAAAAGAGAGACGTGGAAAAAAATATCTATAATGGTCTTTAAAATCTTTAAAATCAACTTTTAAATATTTCCCCAAACTTAAAATCTCTACTTACTTGGTCTGTTTGAGAAGGTTCTGCCACATGACACAAGAGTCGTCCATCATGACAATAAAAGGCCACACATCCTGGCCGCGCTTGCCATCAATTGCATGTCGTTCACGCTCTACAAGCCAGTTCTCCGTGGCAAATTCCTGCAAAGGGACATCGACAATCATGACGCTGTAATCCAACACGATAACAATTGAGCAAGAAAAAACCAGACCAGATAAAACAGCAAGAAATACGCACCAAACAAAACACTAAAGCGTTGACCATCTAGGCTTCCATCGCGAAGTAGATCGATGTTGTGTTAAATCTGACTTCTGTCCTAGCACTTTTCCGACCCGGAGTTTAAAGAATTTGCGCACCAAACGTTTTTCATGGACCCCTAGTAGGTCCTGGGTCAACAAAGGAATCGTGATTTCCACGACCTGTATTCGAGACATAACACATTTTCGCAAGGGACAACTGTTCTAGTATCATACGAAATGCCAGTCTGTTGCGCCTCAGAAAACATTATAAAGGATAACCCTTTCGCGCTTGCATCCTCAGCCAAATTTCGCGTCATCTCATAGTAACTGTCGTCTTACCTTTATGTAATATCGCGCAGCTCCCAGTCCCTGCGTGTCAGCGCTCACAGGAAGCCCAACGATTACGTGATTAGGCCAGGTCTTCTGGTAGAGGGCCATTTCTTGGTGCTTAACAAACACAAGTAGGGTGTGATCCTCTCCTTCAAATGCGTGGTACAGGTTTAGCAGGCCTAAAAAATGTTAACGAACACACACCTTAAATAATCTTGTCAAGAAAACTTTTCCTTCGTAAACCCGAATTCACAACAGCCAGTTGTTCTTCCCAAATTATTATCTTAACAAGTTTTTATTTCCCATCGTTTTGCAGTCGAAATGCGCAAACTCGTTTATGACCGCCAGAAAAAAAAACTGACCGGCCAGTTGAAGTTTTTGCAATAGCAGATTACCGAAAAAGAAAACTGGCCTCGTTTCAAAGTAGATTAGCCATTGGGAGATGAAGACATAGAATAGCTAGTGACGAGAGTGGAAATGGATTAAGACGCACACAAACTGACGCAAGATTTTATACTCTGATCAGACAAATTCATTTCACAGGCTTACATCGTTGTTGCCACTCAATTAAATTCATGGAAAGGAAACCTTTGGCAAGTCACAACTGCGTAATTTGTTACATGCATACTGAGTGCATGCGATGCATCGCATTGTCTGGTTTGGATAACAACAAGGATGTGAAAAGGTCAGCAAAATTCCGTCGATCAGTGACCTTGAGCTGTTTAAAATTTGTGTTGCATTAGAGATATGTGCCCCCTTGCTTTTTAAATTAATTTAAATGTGGACAAACGTCACTTTATTATCGACGAAACATTTCCATTTCAAAATACAATTTGAAAGTTTCCATCATACTCATAGGAAACAACGAGGTTTTATATAATCCCGTGAGGGTTCAACTTCCTGAATGGCAAAGACACAAAATTGCTCTCACCATATTCATGCCTTCCTGTGCTCGGCATCATTATGGGACTCTTAACGACTCCTACTGTCCCTCCTGACTCCGTCTTCAGCGGCTTCACAACCTCGCCACGGCCTTCCGTTAGCACCACAGGAAGGCGGAAGCTCCGTAGCTGCTTCTCCTTAGTGAAGGTAAAGCTATGTAAACACCTATGCGGTATAATAAACTGCAGCTTCTCTCCACACTGCAATGTGTACACGCAACTCAACGACGTATTCATTCCCATTCCTTCACGGTAATTCCTACAACTGTCGCAGTGGTGATATATGTCGTATGCTGCCCAGTTCGAAAGCATCATGGGACAGGTTGGTCGCCCTGGAGACAGTTTGATTGAAAGGGGCTGACCGGAAGTGTCTCCGGACACAGTGTTCATTATT